GGGATGTGCACAGGAGAGGTAGAGGAGTCAGGTTATGAGCAACAGAAATCCTCTGCAAGTGGTGCCTGCTGCTCTGCAGAACGATGGAGAGGAGGAAAAGTGAAGCATGTGATTCTATTCCTTTCCTTTCCTTTCCTTTCCTTTCCTTTCCTTTCCTTTCCTTTCCTTTCCTTTCCTTTCCTTTCCTTTCCATTTCCATTTCCATTTCCATTTCCATTTCCATTTCCATTTCCATTTCCATCCCATTTTTTTTCCTTCTTCACACAGAAAATGGCACTGCACTGCTCCAAAGGCAGCTTTGCCCTGGTATAAACTGCTCTGCAGCAGCAATTGCTGCAGCTGCCACAGCAATGCTCCATGTGCATGGAGGAGAGTGGGATGCCACACAAAACTTTCCCATTCACACACCGTGTCCACCATGAAGACATTCTAGAACAGATGCCAGAGAAAGAAATACAGCACCTGTCCAAACTGCATCCTTTTCTGCAAACCTCCTTTGCTATTTCTTTCCCCCTAAAAAAATTGCAGTCCTTTGGTTGACCCTCATTCAGCAGTTAATTTTACTTAATGAAGACAAATTCCTAGTTGAGCAATGATGGAGAAAAACATTCATGAGGAATAAAGTTAACAGGCTGCTGAGACCTTAAACTCTATGAATGGAGCATTAGAGGTGTATCAGTACTCTCCATGTTCCTGAGGGACTGCCATACTTTAAAAAACAGACCAGAAGAAATACCCAATAAATGGCTGGCCTTCCTTGTATTTCCCCTGTGGGAACCTACAGGATCACAGTTATCGTGTTCCAGGAGAAAAATTAAGTTGGAAAAAAAGATTTTTACCTACGTGGCCAAATTATTGCATTGCCACAACTGATAGGTGAGTGGGCTTTCCCATCTCCTTCCAGAGTAACCACCTCATCTGTCCATGGGCCGTGGCTGGAGAACCCCTAAGAGCTCACTGAATATCAGGAGATTGCCTGTGAGGTTATTGAAAGGAAAAGATGTGCCACCATACCCACAGACATAGAAAAATGGATGGAGAGAGTACAGAGCTGATCAGTGCTTCAAAGAAGTCCCACTGAGATCCCAAGATCTGCTCAAGCAATTGCTGGATATGGGTCCTTCCCATACCCTTCTGGCCTTGTTCAGCTTCCCAGGGCTCTCTGCCCCGAGGGCACTGGGCAGTCCTTCATGCCACCATGATGATGGCTTCGGTCTGCTGGGTTGATGGGATCAGACTCCGGAATAAAACTGGGGATTTTATCGTGATCTCAAACGGTGGCATTTTGTCTAATGGGAAATGCCAGCACGGCAATTGGCAAATTTGGGTTGACTTCACTAAAAGCGTTTTGATTGAGGAAAATAATAATTACGACTATTACTGTGATTAGTTTAGAGCTCTGCCTTGAGGTTTAATTAGCTGTAAAACAAAAGCTTTTCTGTTCCTGTTCTATTCAAAACTGACACTTCCTCCCGAAAGCAATTTGAAAAATATGACAAGCTATTTTAAGAAACTCAGAAATCAAACGAGATGTTCAGTCAGATCCCAGATCTTCATGGGTTTCCCAGCTTCTTCCAGTTTGCATGCTTTAATTTGCAGACACTGTTTCAGGGTTCTGGTTAACATGATGTACTGAGAGAGGGAAAAGAAAGCACGGGAGGAAATCATCTGTGTGCTGAAAGGGTCAGTCTTCTGTTGCACGGAGCAGTGAGAACAGCATGTGTGCTGCTTGGGTTCCTTCTCCCAGTAGGATGCTGGGAGGTTTCTCTCCCTGCGTGACTGTATGGACAACTTCAGCATCTGTTCCAGACGGATGGGATGAGCAGTGTCTGAAGTGCCTGGAGGTCACCCAAGGCTTTATCAAGGTCTTCAGGACAAACAAACCCCTCTGCTGTCACAAGTTTAAGGCAATAACTGCTAAAGGATGTTGTTAGTTGAGCAATGAGCCATTGACCCCCCTTCCTGCAACATATTTAGCTGGTCTGTGGGTTAAGCCTTGACGTTCTTCCTTGCAGAGCAGCATTAAGGCTTACAGGAACAAAACACGCTACCCAAAACAAGGCTACCCAAATCTGTGGCATAACCACACAATGTGGTGACTGGGGGGAGGAACACGTGGTGCCAGTAATCACTTTTTTTTTTTTTTTTTGTAAGGAAGAATTTGAGAACATCTTCTTGCGCTCACGGCAGCTCCAGAAGAAGGAAAATGGGTCAGAAACCAGAGACAGAGCCTGCAATTGGATTTGAATGCAGCTCCCTTCTCTGACAGCCCTTCCTCCCCTGAGCACCATGCTAAAACTATCCTGTTTTGCTTGATTGACACAGGAAAAACACATCCCCAGCTCACCAGAAGGGAAACAGAGGCACATTGCCAATCTTGGCTCTGTGTGCAACCAAGAAACCAGACTTCACTATTCTACCAGCTCAACCTGTATCTCCATGGCACAGGGGATTGTTATGTCCCATTTGGAAACAATTGGGCCATCACTGCAACCAATGTCCCATGAGTGAATGGGGGACATGTGTGCCATGTTCCCAAGGACCAGCCCTGGTCTCATCCCTGTTGTCTGTGCCATGCAGGATGGACACACTGAGCAGCCCGAAGCAGGGCAAGAGGTGCCTGCAAGATGACAGAGAAGCTCTACAGTGGTGTAACTCACACAGACAGCCCCAAAAAGCAACCGTCCCAGTGCTCTTTGGAAACAGAAGAGTCAAACCGTGTGCAGTTACATAAAATAATAACATCCCAAAGGCAGATAAAGTCAGCCTAAATCGCTCCTCTTCCTCCTTCCCGGAGATCCGATATTTCTCTTCATCTTCCCATCCCTAATACCCATCTCCCACGTTTGTCTCTGCGTCGCACCGAGGAGTTTGAGATTAACCATGACGAATGGACTGATTTCCTTGTCTCAGGGACTGGCTTTATTTTTCCTTCGCCGCATCTGACAAGTTGCATTTTACTATAAATCCCCTCAATTAGGCCTCTAAAACAGCACCACAGTCATTTCCCTGATATATGGGGAAGGAATTATCTTCACGTCCCTGGCAACCAATTCCTTAACTAAAAATAGTTGATGTTCCTTTTGGCTTTTCTACACTACTTTACCCTACACTTTGGGCACCTGAGAACACAGTGAATATTTCACATCTGAGCCCTGAGCAAGCTGAGATGGCCAAGGAATGGCCCAAGGCTGGAGGTGGCTGAAAGTGATGCTTTCTTCTCAGCTGAGCTGATTTGGGGCATAGTGTGGGTGCCTGGTGCTCCTGGCAGGAAAATGATCCCTGTGAGTCCCAAAAAGACTCCAAAAGCAGAGCGTGGAGCTGTACCCCAACCCCACAGAGCTCTCATGGAAGGGCTGTGCTTTCCTTCCTGTGGATGCCCCAGCTCAAAGCCTGCATTGCTCCCCCAAACTCATGCTCTGCCTCTCCCCCACCACATCGAGAGATCTTTCTCAAGCCACTTCTAGAAAGCATTGACGGGAAAGGTAATGCAGAGGTATCTCTGGAGTTTGTCTCCTTCTGTCACTGTCAGGGGTAAGAACATCAGGAGACCGAAGAGACAAAGAGTTTCCTCCGTTTATCAGAGCTTTACATATTTTCAAATATCTTTGGCAAAGCAGTGACACACTTGATTAAATCCAGCTAATGCCGGAAGACGTATGCATGTGTTGTTTATTCCCGTTAATGACTGGGCTGGAAGGATTCACCCTTTGGGGTCCGGGGTGCAGTTCTGGCTGGACACTCACTGTGATCTGATGGGGCCTTGTTCACCCACCCCCCCACCACCTTCTCCCATGATTCAGAGACAGAAAGTGGCTCAGAGAAGATGGATGGAGGCTTTGGTGGTGAATCCATCAGAGGACACTGCCCTCCTATTGATCTGTCTGCAAAGAGCTGGGGTTGGAGGCTGTGGCTGGGAGAAAGAGGGGAGCACTGTCCTGCTGCCAGCAGATGCACTGATGTTAGGAATGGTAAATGTCTCTAGTCCCCCCAGGATGGACACCCCAATGATGACATCTCCTGTTGTCCTCTTCCCAGCAGCACACCATTATTCCCTCCAGGAAAGAACAAACCATAGCTTACTGCTTGGATTTCTGCTGCCAGTTCCCAAGGTATCACACCAACCACTACTGCCCAAGGCCCCCCAGGTGGGTGCAGAAGGGATGCCCAGAATCTGCCTCAGCTTCACCCACACAGAGACTGATCTAGCACAGAGGTAGACCCGAGAGATGGGGACTTATGGTACATCACTCCAGAAGCTCAGGCTGGGGGCTTCCAGGGGTTGGCACAAGACAGAGACCCCTTCACAACTGAGCCTTATGCTGAAAGGTGTTGTTAGCCCTAGGAACATTGTCCACGCTCTCCCACATCACCCCACTGTTTCCCCCCTCCCCAGGATGTGTCCCCTAAACCAGGGTACCCTTGTTGGCTGTTCAAGCCCCACAACTCCTGCCCCACTGCCCCCTTCCACCACCCCCCCTGTGCAGAACACCGTCCTCAGGAGGGACTCTCCCCCCCGTGACTCAGTTTCTCCTGTTGCAGTCAAATGTCCCCAGCTCAGCCCTGCAGCATCTCCATCACAAGGAGGGTTTTGAAGCCCATTCCCCACATCCCTATGGGAAAGGGGCTGATTCACCAGCCGGTTTGCACAGAGACTGCAGGCTGTGGCAGTGACAGAAGGGGAAGCCTCCCTTTCCCCTACCCGTGTGCCAGAACAAAATCCTATGAATGCAGCAGCCCTTGTGCGATCTGAATCCCTTTGCACGGAGCCACGGGTGCCCACAGCTTCTGCAGGAGAGTCTGAAGCAGCAGCATCGAATTCTGGCTTCGGTGAGGAGAGAAAGGACCTGTCTCCGTGGTCCTGGGGGGGTTGCTGAAGGGAGGTGGAGGAAGGAAAGGGGGAGGAGGAAGAAGAGGAGGAGGGAAGGGGGAGTGGGAGGCGGTGGGGAGGGGTGCAGCCCATCGGCGGGCGAGCTGCGGGGTGGGCTGGCAGCCGGAGCGGCTCGCAAGGAGATTATAAAAGGCGGTGAGTGGGGCACGGCGGACGCACCTGAGCCTGAGAATTTGGAGCCCCGACGGCAGCGGGAGCGGAGCCGGCGATGCCCTGGGTCGCTGGGTGCGGAGGGAGCTAAGGATGGTGTCCGGTCCGCGTCCTGCCCTCCTCCTCCTCTTTCTCCTGCAGGTAAGGTGCTCGCCAGACCTTTATCCCAGAAGGACTCTTCTGCCTTCTTCCCCTCGCACCCTGACCCGCTCCGTGTCTCCGACTTTTCCTTTTCTTTGAAGGAAAAGTCAAAGGGGAAAAGGCAACGCAGCGACCCCCGGGGGTTCCCCCAGCTCAGCGTGGGCTCTCGGCAGGAGCTCACAGCGGGGAGGTTGGCGGCTGGAGCCGGGGGTTCTTCACCAGGTCCCCCTCCATCACTGGATGCTCCCATGCCCCCAGTTTCCCTTTGGCTGTGGGAGGGGGCGGCTGTGCTGGGGGTGTGATGGATGGGGACCGCACAAGTGCAGAGCTTCATTCTTCCCCCTCTTTTATTGATTTCCTAAAGAAATCTCTCTTTTCTTCCCAACCCCCCACCTGCAAAGCAGAAGACTTTCCTCCCTGAATTGCTTGTTTTGGAACTGGAGCCACTGTTAATTTTGCAGCTCTGCACAAAATGCAAATGCTTTGTCAGAAGCAATATTCTTTCCTCCCTGAAGGCTCATCTATTAAGCAAATGCTCCCAGCCCAAAGCATGGGTAGACCCCAGACCCCAGGAATGAGAGATGGGAAAGGTTTCCAGTGATATCCTGAGTGGGCAGCTAAACACAGTGACCACAATTATGGTTAAACCTCTGTGTCAAGTGGGTTAAAAAACGAATAAATGTGCCTTGCTCTCTGCAAAATGCTGTCTCAGTGGCCCAGTTGTGACTGCAGAGTTAAAAGGACAGCAAAAACAGAGTCAGCTCACCCTGTTAGCACTGTTGCAGTTCGTAGCCACGGATTGGGTTCTCACAGTGTAAATTTGGCTTCTCCTTTGGGATGAAAAGTTCTCACCTGGGTGAGAGGAGCTGATTGTGCCTGCTGAGTGCCCTGCCAAGCTGCTGCTGCGTTGCAAAGCTCCTTGCTCCTTTAAGTGCACGGCCCCAATCCTGTTTTATAAGAGTTCTTTCTGCAGTTGTGTTGCCTGGTGCAGGTTTTGCAAGTGGGATAGAGTGGGAGCTCTTCCCCCCCCCCCCCACCCCAGGTTCCCCCTGTCATCACAGGGACAGTGTTGGCAAAGCCACTGCCCTGCTTTGATAGGGGAAGGGTCTGAGATGGGGGAATATGGAGCAAAGGTGGATCACAAAACTAGCCCAAAGGCTCTGGGATGAGGTTCCTGTGCCTTCCTAGAGCCCCCAGGCTCGAGGGCTTCTCTAGCTGCTCCCATGTGTTCTCCAATCATGGTATCATTGTGAAGATGGAGCTGAGTCCTCCAAACCCTTCCAGACTTTGAAATCACAAAAAAGCAGCCTGGAGAAGAGAAGGCTGTGGGGAGCCTTCATTCTGGCTTTCCAGTATTTAAGGGGAATTTATAAACGTGAGGGAAATCAACTTTTTACACGGGTAGGCAGTGATAGGACAAGGGGGAATGGTTTTAAACTAAAGGAGGGAAGAGATTTAGATTAAATATCAGGGGAAGTTTTTTCTCTAAGAGGGTGGTGAGGTGCTGGAATGGTTTGCTCAGAGAGGTCGTAGATGTCACATCTTTGGAGGTATTCTGGGCCAGGGTGTGTGGGGCTCTGGGAAACCTGGTCTGGTATTAAATCTAGCTGCTGGCAACTCTGAATGTGACCAAGAGGTTTGGAACCTCAGGTCCCTTCCAACCCAAACCATTCTATGATTGATTGGTTTGTCCATCTTTCTGTGCAAGGGTGATGGACAGACAATGAGACAGGCAGCCAAAATTGCTTCAGAATACTCTCTGGCATCTTGCACATCATTTAAACAAACCAAACAAGTGGCTGAAGAAGAATGAGTTGATCTGCAGTGGTGTCAGGAACTGATGGGATTACTGGGGCTGATAATAAAGGAAAGCCAATATGTGATGGTGGGGGGTGGTTTCTCCTCTTCCTTGACCCTCCTTAGTAGCAATAAGCCCAAAGCCAGCTTCCCACCCTTTGCTATGTAGGATGTGCTTCTGACTCTGGGGATCTCCTCTGTACCTTGCTTTCTTTAAATGCTGGAGTTGATGCAGTGTGTGCGAGCTCACCCCTGTGGTTTCACATCTTCAATGGAAAACTGAACAGGAATTGCACAGCTTGTTCCCAGAATAGCTGCTCTATTGCCATAGAATGAATATATAGAAATGCAGGGAGCATAGCCTGCAGAGAAGGCTCAACCTGCCCTAAAATACAGCCCTGCTCACCAGATACCCCACACAGGGCTGGCTCAGAAGTCTGTCCATTGCCTTGGTGTGGTTGGGGTTTCCCCAGCTGTGAATAGAGATAAACATGGAAGGTTAGAGGTGAGTTAAATGGCAGATGCTCAGCCCAGGGCATGGCCCTCAAAACATGAGGGAGGATCACGGGGCAGATGGGGGCAAGAAGTCTCCGACCCCCAAAGTGACAATATTTGAATTCTCGTATTTAAAGTTTGTAGGGGAGTTTAATACAAACACTTCAGGAAAGCAGTTCTGTACATGTGCCCATCTCCTTTAGCAGCCTTTTCTCTGGTCCATTCAGATGCCTTAGGAGCTGCTTTGATTCCCAGCGTCCCCTACACCAGCTTGTTTGTCTTTTTATCTTCTAACATCCATACGGTATCATTCATTTTTTCACCCGTCCCCCCAAAAATCCATGTCCCCTGGGATAGATAACTCAAATTGAAATTATTTACATGAAGCAAGAGATTGGAGTGTAATCCAGGAAACACTTTAATTTCCCATAAATCAGGCTTTACAGGCATTCACTTAACCCTGATTGATATTCTTTTGTTATGCTCTGCATCCAGCGTGCTCAGAGAGGCTCCAAATGTAATAAATACTCACATCGAAGCTTCTGTCTGCATGGGGACAGGGACTGGCCCTCTAGCATGGCTAAACTCATCAATTCACATGTTTTAATGCCAGGTGGAAGCAGTAGCACAGTAACATCAGCCATAGGAAAACCCCTCCTGGGGTTCTTGCTTTGAGCATCGGTCTGTCCATACCTAGGGATTCCTTCAGGAGGGATTTTCTTCTTCCCCACTCACTGAAGAATGAGTGTGAGTTGTTGCTGCAGCCTGGCAGGGAGCCCAGCTGGGCTGGGGAGCAGCAACGGGGATGGAAAGGATTTCTACAGCAGGAACACCTGCAGGGAGGCTGCTGCTGTGGTTGAGCCATGGTGAGTAACCATTGGCGCATCCCCATGGGAAAGGCAGCCTGCAGAGTGACTTGAAACCAAGTTTTAGAGGCACCTGACTGGGAGAAGAGACCATAAAAAGTGACTCCAGAGGGATGTCCCTCCAGCCCCGCTCCTGTCACCAGATGGTACCCACAGAAGGATGTGACACCCTTCCACCCAGCTGCCCTCATCTTGAGGGTTTTCCTGCACTGACCAAACCAACCAAGTCACTCCTGCTTCTTTCTCCTTACAAAACCCCCTCCAGCCCTCCCAGGGGTCTCAGAGGCCATCACCACCCATCCATCAGTCCCACTGACCTCTCTGTGCAAAGCCACTGGCTCGCATCCTGCTGATTGCTCTGCTCTTCAATTACAGCTCTGTCAGCCGTGGAAAACCCAAACCCTGACTTAGATTGCTAATTAGACTCCAAACCATCTCTCTCGCTGCTCTGAGCTGTCTGTCAGCCCTTCTGCCATGCAGATCCAATCTTGTTTAAGGCAAGGAGATCTCGAGGGGGAACCAGCCTGTCCCTGGGTAGTATGGGACGGGGGGGGGGGTGATGTTTGACTCAGATGTTAACGTATTAATTAATATCTGTGGATTGCTTTGGAGAGAGAAAGCACTGCAGGGGAACATTAATTCCTAATTGTTGTTAATTGAATTTTGCTGCTAGGTCAGAGGCAGGTCAGAGAGACAGATGCCCTGTGCATATGCCTGTGTGTGTGTGTCAGAGCTTGCTCCTCACACTCATATCAGCAGTGAGCATCCTCGGGCCGAGGCTCCCCAAAAACCCATGCAGCTCAGAGCTCAGCTGGTGGAATGTGATGCAACAACCTGCCCCATGCAGTGTAGCAAAGCCTGAACAATCCTAGGCAAGTTGTTCCAAGTGCCTCAGTGTCCCTTGTGACCCATATTGGATCTGTTGAGGGGAACACACTGACCACAGAGGGTGTTTACAATGCATAGGTGACAGAAATGATGGAGCAGTGTCACCTTTTGGTGTCTTAACTGTGTCCTGCAAGCTCCAGGCTTAACTAAGTATCCTCAGCATCAGCTGTGATGCCTTCAGGTGTGTGAAACAGAGACATTAGTATAGGCTGGGGGGAGCAGTGCTGAAGCCATGGTTGGCTGCATGTGATGGAGAAGCTGCTCCAGCACAGAGCCATGCAACTCCTGGCAGAGCATCGTGCTCATAGGAGCACGCCCTGGCAGAGCAGGACCTCCGTGCAGAGCAACTGCTTCTGCAAAAGCAAATTGCTTACCTTCCCCTGCATAGCTGAATGCTCAGCTGAAGCGCTTTGTGATTTTTGGCAGCCTAAGAGAGATCACAAAGGGGTTTTTTTGCTGTAGAGCAATATTGGCTGTACTCTGTGTCAAAGCAAGAGCAGGAAGGCTGAGGAAAGGGGATGTTGGGGTGTGTGTGGCTCCAGCTTGGCCAGGCTGGGACCCGCTGGGCGCCATGTGGCAGCTGACAGTGGGGATGCAAGGACAGAGCTCTGACCTATTCCTTCTGCAAAGCTTGCGGAGGGGTTAAAGCAACCTGCAGGGGACAAAGTACACACGAGAGCCTGACCAGCAGGGTACTAGGATGCTTTTGGCTCGTGCAAATGCACCTGGAGTCACCACCTTAACCCTGCTAGCAGCATGGCTGATGGGAGCAGGCAAAAAAAAAGAAAACAAGCTATTTGTTTTTTTTTTAATTTGGAGGATTTTGTTTTTTGTTCTTTTTGGGTTTTTTTTTTTGCCATTTTAGTCCATTTTCAAAGCCTGTTCAGAGCCAACGTCTGCGTTCCATCGCTCCATCCTCACCCCTCGAGCTGTAGCTCAGCCCATGCTGCAGCTCAGTGCCAAGACCTCTCCCTGTGTCTGGAAGGAGGATGGGCACTGCCAGGCTGAGCAGGCTGCAATCAGCACCATCACATCCAATTAACGCTTGCAGGCCTGTTCAGTTGAAATCATTTCAGTTGAAATCATCCCAACCCCTTTTGGGAAGAAACCTTGAGTCCCAGCTGCCCATGCAGTGAGCCACAGGTCTGGCAGGCACCAAGGCAGAGGGGATGGACCCCTGCAGCTCGATTACCATTTACCAGTTATCTCTGGATCTTGGGAGCTCTCATGTTTGGGGTTGTGCTTCACTAGCACTGATCCCAGAGCCCAGCCTCACTCAGAGCATCACTGGGTGTGATGAGATCTTGCAGGACTGGAGCAATGGGATGCAGTGCATGCATTTGGGGCAGGGTTGTGCTGCTGGATCCCATGTGCCATCTGGAGCAGTCATAACAAGGGAGCTATTCTCAGCTCTGTTTGTACGTCTGCCTGACATCTCACTTGCTGTCAAAACCAGCTTCCCAAGGCAGTAAATAATTGTTTGGAAAAGAACAAGTGGGTGCAGAGCTCGTCTCCCTATCTGAATACATCCTGCTAATGCTTCAGTAGAGTGCAGGGGATTTCTGGGCATGCCAGCACTGAAGGATGTGGGGAGGAAAGTGTCTTCCCTACCCAGCGTGATTTTGAAGGTAAATGGCACACAGGAAGGGAGATGGGGCACTGGAGAGCAGCCTAGCCGTGGGGAGGGAGTCTCCTCAGCCTCACCTACTGCTGGTAGCCATTCTCTGAGCACGGGGACTGGCCTCTGCCATCCCTCATTCATCCCATCCATTCATCGCAGATGGAATCACTTCATTGCTCCCGCCACGCAGGGCTGAAGAGGTCATTGCAATCTCTGCCAGAAACCATCCTTCAGCAGCAACTTATCCAAAATAGCTCCCCAGGCAGATGGACTCAGTGGTTCTCACTTCTAGAGGAGCTGCAGGGCCACCCAGGAGCTGTTCTGGAGAAGCACATGCCAGTGGGATTGTTTGTGGTCAGTGCTTCCCCATGCAAGGGTAATGGCAATGCTTGGAGACAAAGCCTTCTCCTAGAGAAGGCTTCATCCCCACCCTGTGGATCAGATCCCCTTAAGGATGCATATTAGCATCTTCCTGCTGACAGCTTACAAGGCTGTGATTTTTAATAAGGTATCACAAATCTGAACGTGGTGTCAGGCTCATCATGTTTCCTTGCCTGCTCTTGGGATGCAAAGACGCTAAAAGTGGTGATTAAAATGCTAAACAGGAGAAACTGAAGCTCAGCAGGGGCTGTGCAGGGCTGCAGCATGGGTCACTGGGGGAATATTTGGGGAAGAGGAACAATGGGTGGGGAAAAAAAAGCAGATAATATGAGTCCCCAAGTCTGCAAAAGCAGTCCTGTAAATGGGTGCATGCAGATTTGGGGATGACACCCATCAAGATATGGGCAAGCTCAGATCAGACCCATCTGCTGCCACATCTAGGAAGGAACAGAGGTGTGAGGAAGCTGCATGTTGCTTGTGTAAAGCTGTTCCCATCTGCTCTCTCCCCATGCAGGCGTTTCTCCTCTGGGATAGCCCCGTTGCAGCCTCCATCCAAGAGCAGTACTGTGAGAGCCTGCTGCCCACCACCAACCACACAGGTGAGTGTCCTGTGTCCTCAGCTCATGCTCAGGGCACGTAGAGGCAGGGGTGGCCAGGTGAGGGTGAGCCCCTTTTTGCGGGTGGGAATATGCTGAGGCTGCATTGCAGCCCTGTGATGAACACTGCATCAGCATTTTGCAGAGTGTCAGTTGAGGCAGGTGGAAGATGCAGAGCTCAGGAGAGCTAAAAATAGGAAAAATAGATGTGCTTTGGGCTGGAGGAGAGGTGGGCAAAGAGACACCTGCTCTGCTCCTGCTGCCGTGCTGCCCCTTCCCTACTGCACCCAAGGACATCAGGAGCCAAAGTGGTCCTCAGTACTGACTGCCCTCTGATAACCAGGAACCTCTGTCCCCCATGTTTGCACCCCTTCACCACCCCCATGCCCAAAGGTGACAACAAGAAGCTGTGGCTTTCTGCAGACGTCACCAAAGCAGCATGACCATGATGTGTACAGGGCTCAGCTGCCCTCTCCCCAGTGCTCCCTCTGCTCAGAGCAAAGAGGTGCAGAGAGATGCAGGCGATGCTGGCTGGACAATGTCCCTTGGCATTCAGCCTCATTCAGGCTCCTGCCTTGGCATGATGGTCCAACTTACTACTGTAGGCATCAACAGTGCATCTCAGTGGTATCTGTGCACTCAGATTGGCTGCTCTATCGCAAAGGCTGTTTTTCTATTTGCTCCTTTGTGGCAAGGGGAGAAGGAGCTCCGTACAGACCCCCAGGGAACTGAAATCAGGAAGGTAAATTGCTTTCTGCAGCAATCTGAAGGCTGGGAGCCGTTGGGACAGGCACCTTTCAACCCTAAACAAGGTGTTGTGCCACTGAGCACTGCTGGGAACGTGGAAGCAGCTCTTAGGGATGTGGCTGGGGCTGGCTCATCCAAGCTGGGTGACACCAGCAGGGTCATGGGCACTTCTCTCGTATCCAACACCCCTGCAAGGGTTTGTACCCATCTAGGTCAGGCCCACAAAGCATTGTGTGTTGTCCTACATTAAAGATGTGATTTAGATGTGACGGCTCTGGGTTGGTGATGGATCTGGGGAGAGGAACGGTGGCTGAGGGAGAGGAGCTTCCAGGCAGCAGGAGGAAGGTCCTCCCTAATCCAGGATTCTTCAGAACTCATTTTTCTGTAATTGACAGAGGACAGAGCATGCATCAAACAATTGCCCAGCTTGACCCGATCTCTGCTCAGCAGAGCATCTTTCCATCAGGGTGATGGATGGCTCCCTGCCACGCCGCTCCCATTAGCAACAACATTAAAAAGTCCTTTTTAAACAATTCCAGCTAGGCACTGACTGATTCAGTGCCTGATCCAGGTGGAATGCTTGGCAAGGAGCATCCCCAACCTGAAACATGGGGGTAGGGTAAAGCAAGGCTGGTGGTAGAAATGAAAATGTCTGCATGTCTCTGTCCTGGGGGCTATGCAGAGGAGAAGCCTGGCCATCACTCATGGGCTTTGCTCCCTGAAGGTTTCATTACTCCACGAGGTGTTTGTCCTTGGCCAAGTTAAGCAGTGATAAATGGCATTGGTTTTCTGTGTCTCTGGCTCTGACCCATGCATTGTGGGGAGCACCTCCAGACCTTCCTGTGATAGAGGAGCTGGCCCATGGCACAAGGCATGGAGCCTCCCTATGCTCAGCTCATGGCCCCTATCACCTCTACTGTCACTTCCTGAGCCCAGGGTAGAGAGCAGGGAGCATTTCCAAGCAAAAGGCACTGCTTTTGCAGGCACTGAACTTCCTTCCATTGTGATTTATCAGTGCAAAGCCATTCAGGAGCAAGTGCACCTAGGCATCCATCACTCTGGGATGGAGAGCACAAAAGGCCGGGCTTTAAATCTGCAAAATCTCTGCCACCCTGCCTTTCATGCACGGGTAACTATCGATATGGGATGGGGATGGTGCACGTGAGTGTTGCTCCCTGCTCAGGGAGGGGGCTTAGCTGAAACTATTTGTCCTATGCCTGTTGTTTGGTAAGTGGAGCTCAGTGTCAGCCCTCATCCTTGGGGTCTGTTTAAGCCCTGCCTGATTTAGGCAGCAATTCTGAGGAAGAGATGTTCACAAAACCGGCAACTTTGTTTTGAGGCTATTTGAAGCGGGGACTTGTTAGGATGATGCTAATGGGAATTGCAGCAAGGCTACAAGACTTAATTTGTTAATGTCTGCACATCTCTTGGGAAATGGCACGTGCTGGCAACACGAGCCCAAGGCTCCTCCAGTACACAGCACATTGGGCATCAGCTGGATGCACAGAGGGGCTCTGCTATGGCAGCGCTCCTCCAAAAATCATCCCAGCCCCAGGTTCTCACCCTTCTCATACTGCCAGTCCCTTTGTTACTTAATATCACACTTCTTAATGAGGATGCAACGCTGGGTGGTTCTGAGGTACATGCACTGAGCTGGAAAGATCTCTGCTCAGAGCAGAGAGGTGCAGAGAAACGCAGGCGATGCTCGCTGGACAATGTCCCTTGGCGTTCAGCCTCATTCAGGCTCCTGCCTTGGCATGGTGGTCCAACCTACTATTGTAGGCATCAAGAGTGCCTCTCAGTGGGTATCCGTGCACTCAGATTGGCTGCTCTATTGCAAATACTATTTTTCTATTTGCTCCTCCAAGTAGAAATCATATTAAGCTGGACTTGAGACCAAGAAGGTGCATTAGAATCCAGGTCAGCTTGCACCTGCAAACACCTGGAAACCAAAAAATTTAATTAAACTTAATCAAAGAGAAACAATGAAGATAACCTTGTTTGGGGTTGAAAGATGCCTGTCCCAAGGGCTCTCAGCCTTCAAATTGCTGCGGAAAGCAATTTACCTTCCTGATTTCAGTTCCCTGGGTCTGTACACAGCTGCTTCTCCCCTTGCCACAAAGCTTTTGCAGAGGGATGAAGTCATTTTGCCCATGGGGATGAAGCATCCCATTGTCAAAAGAATGTTTCTCGCTGCAGCCTTTGCACTGGGAAGGAAATGGGAGTCTAAGTAGATGGGAAAGCCTCCTCCTAACTAATAGGTGAGGCTTTTCCAGAGCAGACCAGCAGAAAGCACTCAAGCAGAGCAAGTGCTTGAGGGGTTATTTTGCCTTTCATAGCATTCAGGCTTGGATCAGCCCAAGGAGTTGGCACCCAATTCCTAATAGCTCTGGTGCTTCTGGCTGCACGATTCACTTCTTCAAGCTGTTAAATTGTTATCACAATAAATTGTTATCCTTAATCCCCTGTGCGTGCCCAGAAGAGAGCAAGAAGCACAGCCTATTCCTTCCAGGAAATAAGTGATTCGGGCCACTGCACATTCACCTAAAGCAAAAGGAAGTGACACCAAAGCTAGGCAGAGCTGAATAAAAATGTGTGTTTGTTTGTTTTTAAAATACTTGAGCTTTCTTCAAGGGGTGGAGGGAGCATAGCTTTGCATTCAAATAACCAAATTGAGCTGGGGCAGATATAGCAAAAGCCTGGGACTGAGAAGCACAGAAGAGCAGTGAGCAATGTGAACATTTCATTGCGTGTGCTTTGCAGAACAGGTGTGGGGACAAGTTTTGCAGTGGGTGACACTGGGACCAGGAGCCTTCCACCCTCTCCAGTTCCACACCAGTGGCACTGCGACAGCCGTCCCTGCAGCTCTTGTATTCACATGCTGCCTCCCCAGGGGAAGAGACTGGAATTTAAATTCATAAAGGTCAAATTAACAACATCAGCGCCTCTTCTCCCTTCAGCCTGGTTGGCATCTCTCCTACCAACGCAGAAATACTAATAAAAGGGCTAAAGAGACAGCAGGGAGTCCTGGCAGGGACTCAGCACTGATGGAGAGCAGTGATACTGGGGCTGATAAATTTGTACTCACCTATATGGAAAAATCACAGTGTTTTAAGTGTATGCGGGTATTGATAAAGCCATTCTGCTCCATCATCTGGGAAATGGGAATGTCGATAGAAACTTGCTTTTATTCACATGTTTGTCATCGTGGAAGAGGGAAGACAGTGACAGTTTGAGGTTTTCTGGTAGGAAGCAGAGTGTTAGCACATCTCAGTGCTGTTAAACTGCACTTTGGACTGAATGCTGTAACATCCCTGCCAACTGCTCTGCTCTGTTTTAGCCACATTACAGAAGAAACCTTTGCCAGCGAGGGGTTGTGCTTCCTTGCTCACCCAGCGCAAAGCCCGGAGGTACCAGGGAATAAAGCACTGACTGCTACCCTTGGAAATAACACAATAACCACATCGTGTGTCATATCAGAACAAGATATGGCCCAAACCAACCTACTCCATTACATAATCCATATGTATATATGATCCCAATGAGAGCCTCCATAAGTTTATCTTGGAGCTGTCTCAGGTGCTGACGTAGCAGGGATGCATCCCATCAATAGCAGAAGCTTGGCATGATGCCTCCTGTTTATCCTTCTCCAGAATAACAGCAAAGACCCTAGGGGATGGTCAGTGAGCATGAATAGCAACAAGCTGAAAATTTATTACAAAGACACTTTGCTATCATAACAGTTAATTGGCCCACTTAATTATTTTTGAGGATCGTGGAACTTGAATGCCTAGGAGGATTTCTGGGGATTTTTTTGAGGACTGGACACTTACAGAAGTAAATAGGAACATCCAGCACCACCTAAGTCAGTGCTGAAGGTAGGGAGTGAGCAAGGATCAGGTTATTTTGAGACAATTTCAGTGGCCCCAGCCTTGTTAAGTATTCATCCTCAACTCAAAGGAAATGCAAATAACTCCACCACCCCAATTTCAGACCTATGTTAAAGTAAATTGCCCACCAGTGCTGTTTCATTAACTGCCTCCAGCGTTTGGCACTTACCCATCATGGACATATCAGAGCCTTTAAATAAGAGCGTTCTCACCAAGGCTCTTAGTTTGGGGACAGTGAGGTGTGGAATTGGTCCTCCTGTTTTACCAGCTACACAGTGGAGCTGCCTGGGAGGGATGAGTGATGCTTCATGGTGCTGTGTACCCCTAGATACTGGCTGCAGTGAGTGCATTCTGGTTAGATGTAGACATGGAGCGCAGGTTGCTAAATACAAGTGCTGCAGAAGGAACGTCCCTTAGGAGCTCAGGGCTTCAGCCTGCATGAGAAACAGCCACTGAGGCCATCAGGGATGGACAGAGATAGTTGTTGTTGAGTAACATTTCCAGATTGGTAGAGATATGAGCTAACACATCTCAGCTATTACTCAGCCTCCTGAGATACCTTAGATAAATAACTGCATCACTCAACATAAGGACAAGTGTGTGATTCAGCTTCCCATCGTCTCTCCTGCTCCTTTGGCATTGCATGAACTGAAAACGGCTTCATCTGCAGAGCAGCTGTAGCATTTGGGGATGCAGCATCCAGCTGAGGCACTGCATAGCTGCAAAGCTTTACTGGGGTGTGAGATGGAGATGTGTTCCCCAACACGACTCTATCCGCACAATCTTTGCTTGAGCAAAGCAATGATTTGATGGTACAAACCTGTGCCAAACCTCCTGGCACTGGCTTGTAACACTGCAGCCACACGTCTGGTGGTGCTGGCACAGGGTAGATGTGCTTTGCCCTCTTTACATTTGTTCCAAATCTTTTGATAGATTAGCTGCCAGGCTTCATACGTCTGCATGGCTTTATCTTGGAGCTATCTCAAGCTTCTGTGAGCAGTGCAGGCAGCAATAATGCTATGTTCTATAGAAGCAGCAAGTATATTCTATAGTTATCCTGATGCAGTTATTGTGAAGTCGTCGTCTCAGTGTAAGTCCCTGGACAAGCACTTCTTTCTTCAGAAATGCTTTACATTGCTTCAAAGCAGAAAAACCCTTAAGGAAATAGGATGAGAAGGGATTTGAGTGGATTCCCTGGTGCCACATTCTCTGTCTTAAAGCAGGACCAGCTCTCTCCTACCCTAGTTGCTGTGTTTCTACACAGAGTAAGGGAGCAAAACTGGGGGAATTGGAAGCAAATAGGTTATTTATTGACTCTTCTTGCTGCAAAGACCAAAGCCAACAATGCTGAGGAAGCTGGAGCAGGCGGCTGCAGAACCTGGGAGAATAATCCCCTGCAAATAGGACGGGCTGAAAGCAGATCTGAATGCCTTTAGCACTGATGCATATCATTTCCATGTTAAACAGTGCTCTAAATGCTGGGAGCCATGTGCCATTGGGGAGCATCTGGAGCAGACAGTGTGATGGGCAAAGGGGACAGCACAGCCCCCTTGGCACCCTTCTTACTGCTTTACTTAACCCTTCCCCAGATTGAGGGTTTTTCTTCCCTACATGCTGGAGAGAACAGCATTTCTAAGATTGAGAAAGTGGGAGAGATATTATAGCCTCCCACTTAAAGTGGAGTGCCAAGCAACATTGAATCAAGTGCTTTGGAGAAAAGTGGAGGCATTTCATCCAAACAAGCAGAACTGTAACCAAACAATGCCACTTTTGTCTGACCACATAATTTCCATGTGTCATGGGTTTTGTTATTGATGGTCCTGCAGTGGTTTTGCTTTACTGAGTGGAATACAATGCTGCCAGCCTCTGGCTCTGCTGACTTGTAATTGCTGAGCCTTGTTTGGCCCTATGAGCACAGCACAGCCCCTGGGATGCAGGAAGGGTAACTGAGGCACAAGAGACCAAGAGAAAATAGCACTTGTGCTCAGCCCTGCTGGCCCCAGAGTGAGTTTTTGCCATTGGCACTGTGCAAGTTTCATTTTCCCATGCTGGGTTATTCCAAATTAATCTTTCGTGCTCCAGGTATTCATGTGACTTCTCACCTGGGTGAGTTCCCAGGTGACTAATAGGGAGAGCACTCACAATTTAACATTGTCCTCAGTGGAAGCAATTACCAGTTCTCTTTTCTCTATCTGGATGTGTATTATCATAAAATTTTAAATAGGGATTTCATTGCCTGTGACCCTCTATTTCTCTGCCAAATCGGTCAAAACACCTAAGGAGCACAACAATTCCTAATGGATGCAGATGAGACAGACATGCACTCTACATGTGTGATTAAACACTTTTTTTTTTTCCTAAGAAAAGCTACATTAAAACAGTTAACATAAAGTAAAGGTTGCTACAGCAACCGTACACATGAAGAAAGCTAAAAGCAAAGGTCAGTGTTAAAATTAATTTCTCACTACCAGCTATGGAAGGCAGAAGGCAGCACTCACCACGCTCGGATGCTTTGCAGCTCACACACTTGGAGCTTTCTTTGTCTAGAAAAGAGGAATGAAGACAACCCTTCTTTCCTTCACACTGAAACTGTGCACTGAGAATGTCCCAAGAAGCCACAGAGCCAATTCTTCAGATAAGCAATGGAAGAAAATATTCCCCCTTAAAAAAAATACTTTTATCACAATCATAATGTAATGCTTTGCTGTTTTGTTCAGTTGCTTTTCAGCCAGCTCTATCCATACTTGGGAAAGGCTTCTGAACAACAGCCTGCACTGTGTCAAGTCCTGATCGAGAGGAAGATGTGTTCTTACACCCAATGAGCTTCTAATTGGAGGAGGTTGCCTTAGGGAATGGCGATGTCTGGCTCTGCACTGGCAGCACAAACAGCTCTGATTCCCAGGAGTGGTTGGGACTGATCTCTGCCCTGCCGAGGTCTGCTGCCCATCACCCCTCTGCTGTGTGCTGGGGGTGGCATTGTGTTGATATCGCAGTCACTGCGCTTCCTACCTCGCTTTGAGATGGAGCTAGGACATATTTAGCTACAGTACATGTTGTTCTAAATATACACAAATTATACATAAAAGAGCCTGCAATCTGGCCTACCTAATGTCTACATTAGCACACTTGTGTAGCTGAGAAAAGCACACAAGTCCTGCTTGAAATCTGGAGTTTTCTTCCTGGAAAAGGCTGGAACAGGGATGGCTGGGAAGGAGATGATGGAGCCAGGAGGGCTCTGAGAAGCATCCTGCCAGCACTGGGAATGGGAAAAAATGGCTGCTGTGGGGCCAGATGCCAAAGTCATGGCTGAGGAAAGGACTCTCCCTCCTTCACCCTCTCCAAAATGTGAGATAAGAGATACTCCCTTTTTGGAGGACCAGAGCAGGGGACCCCAGGCTCAGGTGGAAGGCTGGGTCAGGAAACCAGGCTTGTGCTGTAACCAGGCTTAATCTGAGTATGCAGGGCAACGATCGTGAGTAGGATGGATCAACCAGCTCTTTGGAGAACCTCAATGCAGAAAGCGTTTAGCGTCTGCCATGAAGCTTTCCTCGAAGCAAAACATATAGCAACCCAACTGCTCCACCGGTACCACAAACCCTCTAGGTCCTGAGACCTCCACTAAACCTCTACCCTTCTCCCCACCAGGGCCTCAGTGCAATGCCTCGGTGGACCTGATTGGCACGTGCTGGCCCCGCAGTGCAGTGGGACAACTGGTGGCTCGGCCCTGCCCCGAATATTTCTATGGCGTGCGGTACAACACCACAAGTAAGCTGAGCAGCAGCAGTGGGGATGGGATGGATGGCGGATGGGGCACAAGTGACAGAACATCAATGGGTACAGAGGTTGCTTGGGTGCTCTGTGGGACATGTCATCTAAAAATGAAATAATCCATCATCTCGCATTTTGGAGAAGACGGTTGTATAAGCAGGTGCTCCTGGACAAGCACTTGGGAAGGAGAAGGGAGCCAACGTCCCCATCTTGGTGACAGGGGATGTCCCCATGTAGGGAACAGGGAGTGAAGAAGGAGCTGTCCTGCTGCTGGAGGTGGCACTATAGCCCTCAACTGAGCAGGGACACAGGGACCTCAGAGTTATCTCCTTCCAATACAGGTGGCTGAGATGTCACTGCCTACAATGTGCTGGGAATACCGGATGAAGTGGGGACACTTGGAATACCCCCAAAGCAATATGTAGCACACAGATGAGTTTATGACCACCTGAGCACTACTTTTGGTGAAAGAAATACCTTATACCATGCAGAAAGCATCAGTTTTTCTGCACCACGCCTTTTTATTGCTGTGGAAGATTGCATGCACGCTTCACAGTGCCTCCTTGCAAGAGTCTGTTTGCATTAATTCCCACTCATGCCTGCCCAAGAGCCATCCCATCCCTGTCCCATCCTATTGCCCTGATGAGGCCCGTGGTCTCTCCTGTTAATATCAGAAGCCCAACATTGCCTTCTGCTGATGCTAATTGAAGGCTGCTCCAGGCCTGGCACAGCTGTGCCTCCTTGATTAGCCTTGCCCCTCACCATCCCTGTTGAGAGGTGTAGAATGCTCCTAATGCAGCCAACCCCACACTGCATTTGCAGGTGCAGGTGGGGGAGTTGGACTCATGTTTCTTGGTGGGCACTGAGGGACAGCACTGGTGCAGACCCAAAGCCCTTTTGAGCAGGTCTGAATCATTCCCATGTAGATTTAAGCTGTTTGCCTCTGATTTCCAGATTGCTAAAATGAGGAGAAAGGAGCTCTTTCTAAAGAAGTTCAACCCAAGTCTGGAAGCACAAGGATGGGCTTCTAAGCTTTCCCATATCACATTTTGGCCCATGAGTGCTTTGGGAGGCTTGGACCAGATTCTCAAGGGACGGATCATCTTGAAAGCACTTCCCTAAGCCTTGGTGCTTTCTGGAAAAGACTCCTACCCTTCCTTTTCTCACCGTAAAGCTTTGTAGAGCAGGAGTGGCACCCCAGGAATCTGATCCTGTGTTATCTATCAACTGAAGAAATATCTGAGGCAACTTCAAAGAGAAAGATGCCACTGGCTTGATATCAGAGACCCCTTCCTTACTGACAATCATCAGGTCACATCTGTCACATCCATGGTCTTGTGCCACCTCCAGGCACTGTTAACCCCTCGATGTGCACCTCTCTTTCAGACAATGGCTACAGGGAGTGCCTCGCTAACGGGAGCTGGGCAGCACGGGTCAACTACTCCCAGTGCCAGGAGATCCTCAGTGAGGAGGTAAGATGTCGGCAGTGCTTTGGGTTCCAGGCAGAAGGTGAGGAATGGATGATGGAATTTTGAAGGGCAACAGCATCCAGGTTCAGGAAAGGCCCAAGGGAGCTCTGGGGCTGGGCACACACCAGCATCCGTGTCTATATAAGGGTGTAGGTAGTGTATGTGACTCTGTACTAGATGTACATTTTCAGTCCTTTGCAAAAGTAAAACTATTTCTGATTCCTTCCATGTTAAAAGGACAAGAGGGTTTGTAATGTGAGGTCTCCTGATCCCAGGCTGCATGGTACAGGTCAGAATATTCTCCACATCTATTACCCTCTTCTGCTTCTGCAGCTCCTTACCATGAAAACAGTGCAACACTAACTCCGTATCTCCCTGCTGGCAGTGAAATGAAGGAGATATTTAGGAAGCTGAGAGGAATAGATACCAAAAATTGTAAGCCTCCTGTGTAGGTCAAGCCACCCCTCAGAGCAAAGGAGAAGAGATACAGGCTGCTCATTTGCAGTTGATAACCACCTCTGGTATTTAGGATGCTGATATCTCTTGCCAGGAATAGTTTTCTCACTCAGTTAATTGCTAATTCACAGGTTGGATGAGTGCCTAACAGCAGGAGAAATCAATTAATTTAATTATCACTCATGCCTTCCTGTGATCCCCTGTTCTCTTTGCCCAAATTCATTTCAGCCTCTCAGTTGCCCCTAGGGCTAAAGGGAATGAACAAAGACATCAAGCATCATGCTGCCAGTGAGCTTGGCTGAGTTGCAGCAGGGTTTCCCCCAGATGATGGTCAGGGATGTCCCAGTGCTGAGCAGGGCTGATGTAGGAGCAAGATGTGAAGTGCCCAAGCCCATTGCCCGGACAGGTTTGTATATTTCCTGTCTAAATTAGCCCCATCTGCACTTTCTCCACCAGGAGAGCTCCAACGGGTTTCTGCAAACAGGCCCCCAATATACAGAGCAGCTCTGGGTGGTGGAGGAGGAGGGTTTGGGCTTCTATTGACCCCTCTCTGTCTTCTTCTCCACAGAAGAAGAGTAAGCTGCACTACCACATCGCTGTCATCATCAACTACCTGGGGCACTGTGTCTCACTGGGGGCCCTCCTCATGGCCTTTGTCCTCTTCATGCGCCTGCGGTGAGAGACTCGACCTGCTGCTGGGGGGATGAGCCTACAGAGGTCCCTTTGGGTGGGGACAGACCTGGAGACCTGGTGTTTTGCTATGTCCCTTCCATGGCCCATTGTTCTCCAGCTGCTCTCCAGTCTGAATGCCAGTCTCAGAGTTATTTTCTTCCTGTGCTCTTTAAAGTGATGGCTTATAGAGGCAGAGGGTCCTCCTTGGTGCTTTCCATCTCCTGGCTGTATCACTCAGGGCACAGCCCCAGCATCTCACCACTGGGCTTTGGGTTCCTTTGAAAACAATCACCTCCACAAAGAGCCTTGTCCTCCCCTGCAGCCCACCTGGGGTCTGTCCTCATTGTGCTCTGATGGTCCTTTGTCCCCCCATTCTGCAGGAGCATCCGGTGCCTGAGGAACATCATCCACTGGAACCTGATCACAGCCTTCATCCTACGCAATGCCACATGGTTTGTGGTGCAGCTCACAATGAACCCAGAGGTGCACGAGAGCAACGTGGTAGGTGGGAAGCTCAAGGATCTTAGAGACGAGGCCACAAAAGCTACTTGAGAGGTCAAATAGTGCTGCTTGGTAGCTGGAGAGCAATCAAGGCTTATGGGAAACCTGGGCTCAGTTGCTCTGCTGGGGTCTGTGTCACATTATGTCTCAGTTTCCTCACTGTAGCACAGAGCTAATGTTGATTTTTACTGTGGCATCAACAAGAAGCAGCCATGGTGATCTGTTTGTTGTCTCCTTGAAGTAGTTCTGCTCTTCACCGTGTCTCCTAAACTCTTGGCAGGTCTGGTGCCGTTTGGTCACAGCTGCCTACAATTACTTCCATGTCACCAACTTCTTCTGGATGTTTGGTGAGGGCTGCTACCTGCACACAGCCATTGTCCTCACCTATTCCACCGACAAGCTCCGCAAGTGGATGTTCATCTGTATTGGCTGGTGTAAGTACCAGGGCCTCCCCTACATTCAGTGAGTGATACTCACCCCCTATCCTCTGCTCTTGTTTCACCTAACGGCACTTAAGGATGTGCTTTAATGGGCATAGTGGGAATGGGCTGATGATTGGACTCGATAATCTTGGAGGTCTTTTCCAACCTTAATGATTCTATGATTCTAAACAGCTCCTGTCAGGAGCATGAGAACAGTAGTTGCATGTCCATATCAGCTTGCCCTGTGCAAGAAGACCATCATCAATTGGTTGCAGCATTGCACTCCTGAGACCTGTCTGTGTGTTCATCTGCAGGTATCCCCTTTCCCATCATTGTTGCCTGGGCCATCGGGAAGCTGTACTACGACAATGAGAAGTGAGCCTCACTGCTCTCCTTCCCCCTCTTTCTCTGTTCCAATTCCCTGGTCATGCCAGGAGCCAGCACACAGCAGGCAAGGATGTGCCTGCAGGGGATCACATGAGGTGGTGGACATGGAAATGGTGCAAGGAAAAATGATATCCTTCTATTCTTTCTTTTATCCCGCCTTTAGGCTCGCTGCAGCACGAGCCCTGCCTGCTGCTGCATTTTTCCTTTCACACTACAAATGAGATTTTTAAGAAGGGAAAAAGCTAGATTAAGCCACAGCTCTTACAAAGTGTTTACTAAGTGGAGCTGGGATTTAATCTACCGGTAGAGATATAAACTACCACCACCTGAGCCATTTTCACAGAGACTTGCTAATGGAGGACTTAACAGGAACCTGATGAGTTCATCATGGGGATGGTGGAACTGAAAAGAGCCTCCTCCGATGAATGCAGCTCGCCTTGTTTTGCAGCACTAGTTCTGCCTCGTGACTTGAGCATCCTTATTGCACACAGGAGAAGGAATGATTAACCAAAATTCAACCAGGTGCTCTCAGGACACTGATACTACCATTAGCTCTCATGGGGTTTGCTGGGGACAGAGCCATCCTAGACCTATCTGTGTAAGGTTGTCCTTCCTTGCTCCACAGTAACCAGCTCCCACACTCACACAGGACCAGTATAAACCTCCCCATGTAATCTGGTGTGGGAGAAGCTGTTCCATAGCTGCCGCTCTTAGCTACAGCAGCTTAAGTCTTAGTGCCTTTGTGCTATGACAGTGACCTAGGGACATTGTGTAAGGGCAGTAGTCAACCTAGGTCACTTGTGCTGCAGGCTTGTCTCTCACACCTGTCCCTGACACCACATGTTCCCAACACTGCCTGCCTTTGCCTTGCAGGTGCTGGTTTGGGAAGCGAGCAGGAGTTTATACTGACTACATCTATCAAGGTCCCATGATCCTGGTGCTTCTGGTAAGGGCAAAGTGACCTTGCTTGTTATACATCAGGTCCTTCCCATCTGTACGTGGACCTGGGTCTTTCCAGCTATACTGTCCTATGGCAGAGTGCCCTGCAAGCCTGGCTCCCCCCCCCCCCCACTCATGCAACACCCAGCTGTGATGAGAAACATCATGCATGGATCCTGACAACTTGAGATGGGCTAGAAAGGGACTCTGATAGGGATGCTTCCATTAACAGAACCCCACAAGCACTGATCAGTCTCCCCATCTCTGCTGAGGCATTGTTTGTGTGCAAGCGTGTGCTCTGCCAAGCATCAGGAGTTTCCTCAGCCTCATTCATTGCTCTCTAGCAGTTTGCTCCTGGCCACTGGCTGAGCAACAACGCTTGATCCTGAGGTCAAACAATTTACTGGGACTTCACTTCCTCAGGAAGGGGCAAATAGGAGCAGAGCTGGCAGGTCACAAGCAGCAGTGCCAGTATCAGATCAGCATTTGCAGGACAAAAGCCATGCACAAGGTCCCTGCAGCTTCTCCTCCTTCCACGCCCAATGCTGGGAAAACCCAAGGGGGCATTAATCACTGGCACCAAGCAGCCTTCCCTGCACCTCACTGGATAATTGAGCTGCTTTCATTTCCCAGCCCATCAGGTAGCCTGGCCACTTCTAATCTGTGTCAATTGTGCTCAGGCCCAGCACCACCCCCCAGTTTCATTAGCACTTGACAGCCAGGAGAGCAGCTCCTTTCCACAATGGCAACCAATCTCCCCACATCCCTTTCTTTGCTTTACAATCCTCCTCTCCATCCACTTTTTGCTCACACCCTTCTTCACTGTCTTCTGATGCACCCTTCAGCCCTCGGTCCTGCAAATTACCTCCTATATCTTATTGCTGAAGTATATACACAGATGCCCTCTCCCAGTTCAAGGAAGACGGAGTGAATCCTCATGAGAAACAGAGTCCACACACACTGCATCCACTGCTTCTCAGTTTTGAGGTTCACCCCAGGCTTGGTTTGGGTTCATAAGGTGTTCCCATTTCCCTCAGCACATTTCCTCTGCTGTGGGAATAGAGGAGAACATGGGAGAGCAGACACTTATCAGCTGCCCTCTGCTTTGTAGATCAACTTCATCTTTCTGTTTAACATTGTTCGGATTCTCATGACCAAGCTCCGAGCATCAACCACGTCAGAGACAATCCAGTACAGGTAAGAGCAGGAGTGTAAAGCAGAACATTAAGCTTTAGCATAATGGCATCTCCAATTTGTGGTTACTATATTCCATCTATATTCAGTTTGCCAGCTGAAGCCCCACATCCTTAGCTACTGTCAGCTCACCCATGCCATCTGCCAGCTTGCACTGGTGGCTGGGGCTCTCCTGCAGGTCCCAGACCCACCAGGGATGGCTTTTCTGGCATTAAGCTACTGGTGGAATCTGTCAACTTGGCACTGTGCTCGTTCCCTAATCGAAACAAATGAGATAGTGAGCCCCTATCCTTCCCATGCTCTCTTGCATCAGCACAATCACTTTTCACAAACCGCACTTGTAATCTCATCAGGAAAAGATATCAAATTAATTAGCTGAGATAAGTTTTTCATAAACCCATCTCGATGGGTGTAAATTATCTTACCCTCCTTAATTCCTTTTTAACGAAGACCTCGCTCAGCCAAGCAGCTCAGCTCAGCAGCTCAAGGTCAGGTCTCTGCAATCCACCACCCATTCTGAAGCCAAACAAAGTGCTCGAACCAGCCCAATTATTTGGGGATTGCTTTAGGAAACAGACCAGCTCTGTTCATGTTGCTGCTGAGAGTGAGATGGGACAGTCCCTATGCTTAGCACTGCGTGGTGGCAGCTCACCTCCATGGTTTCTCCTCAGAAAAGCAGTCAAGGCCACACTGGTGCTGCTGCCCTTGCTGGGAATCACCTACATGCTGTTCTTCGTCAATCCAGGGGAGGATGAGATCTCCAGGATCGTCTTCATCTACTTCAACTCTTTCCTGGAGTCCTTCCAGGTATGGCTCTCAGCTCCAGCTGCCATCCCAGGGCCCAAGGGATGTGGAGGAGCACGTGGTGTGGCTGATGTCTCTTTTCACTCCTCCTCCATCCCAAAAATTGACCTCCCCAAGCCTTGGGGTTGCTTCAGAGATGCTCAACCTTGGGGTAACTCTACTGTGACTCTGCATTTGTCTCCTTCCAGGGCTTCTTTGTCTCTGTCTTCTACTGCTTCCTGAACAGTGAGGTGAGTGTGGGGCTGAGGGTGCTTGGGGGGGTCTGTGCCCATCCTTGAGCGGGGCTGCAAGATGAGTTACCCTCAGCTGCAGGCACATCCACAACCTCACACTGTGCCCACACAGGATATTCCCTGGCTCTATGCTTTGTCCTGCTGGGGGGATATGCCAGAAAATGGGAACTGCTTCTCACAGGGAATAGAAAATGTAGTTTCAGCTCCTTCTGGTTTTGTTTGCTGTGGTTCTGTGGGTTTGTTTTGTTTGTTTTTGGTGAGAATTGCCCATGAGCACCCCATGCAAATCAAACACAGCTGACAGCTTCCAGGGCTTTGCTGTTTGGAAGACTGTCTCCAGCCTTTACTAATTCTTCCTCCCAGGCTTTGCATTTGTTGTGGCTTGTTTGGGCGCTGTGCTGGATTTAACAAAGATGCTCAGCCTCCAAAAATGTGAGAAACTGAGAATTTTTGCTGCCTATCTCACATGCAGCAAGCAAGGCAAGGTTCTGGGGAGGAATTTCAGCCGAAGCAGAACATCTCATATGAAATATCAGTTAATCACTATTTTTTCCTATCTGGGGAAGGAAATTACACCATTGCAAATGGATGCTTTGGGGGTGCATGTATGGGATTTGGTGCAGCAGGAGAGCCCAGGATCCCATTCCCACGTGAGTGTGAAAAGGGGCACCTCTCAGAGTCCAACACAAAACTCAGCTGCAAGCAAAGGAGATGAGACCAGGAGCTGATCCTTTCCTTCTCCTCGTCCTAAATGTTCTCACACCTTCGCTGGCTGTGATGCACAAAAGCAACCAGCAAAGCCCCAGGGAACAGCAGCATAAGTATTTTAAAGCTCCAGAGAAGACGCAGACCCTTCTCTGGGTTATTTTTCAAACTGCTTTTCAGCAACAAAAGGCAGCTGGCAGCATCCTGACATAACAGACTCAGATGTGCTAAGTAACTCACTGATGCTGCTATTTTTGATGGAAGAGGAAAAGGATCTGGATGAGCCCCTTGCCTTTTGCAAGCAGAGCTCAGATAATCCCTCTGCAGCCTGCATAGCTCAGCGTTGGCCAGCTAGATGGATATTAATTGTCCCCTCCTCTGTGTCACCCCCAGGTGCGCTCGGCTGTGCGGAAGCGGTGGCACCGATGGCAGGACAAGCACTCCATCCGTGCTCGAGTGGCTCGGGCCATGTCCATCCCCACCTCCCCGACCCGGGTCAGCTTCCACAGCATCAAGCAGTCCTCAGCAGTGTGAGGCAGAAGGAGGCAGCTGCCCAACAGGACCCTGCTGTGTGGGTACAGGAGCGGGGTGTGCTGCTTGCAGAGGATGCGCGAACTTGCAGTGGGTAACAGGAAACTCTGCAGAAGTTCCTGTATGGACAGGACAGACCTGTAGGATGTGGGACATCTGAGATGTGTTGTTGCCTGCTTGGCCTGGTGCGACCTACTGGGGTGGCAGGAAGAATCCAGAGAGGTTGCGGCAGCTGCTCTGTCTGCATCCATCCCAGTACAATGCCCTGTGTCCCAACTCGCCCTGTGTTTGTCACTTGTCTGAGGTGACACCAAGGCAGGGATGCCCCAGGGATTAATCCCTCGGATGGGAATGCTGCTCAGGGTGGGCAGAAGCCTCTGAGTTGATGGAGGTGGCAGAGAGCCTGGGGCTGATTGTGGACTTTGCTTTTTTAAAGCACTGGGGTTATTGGAGCCCCATCTGTCAGCTGATTTCTCCATGTGAGACAGAAGGCAGGGAGGCAGGACGCAAAGTCAGAGCCCCAGGATTCAACCTGGCCCCCTGGCCCTGCTTAGGGGAACGTGAGGAAGAGCAGCCCTATGGAGATGTGTGTGGCTCTGTCCCTCCCTACCCTGCTCCCACCAAGCTCAGTGCCAAAGCTGCTCCCTGCCCTCACGTAGAGACCGGGGCCGAATCCCTCCCATGCTGGGATTAAGTGCCTTGGAGGAGTGGCAGCCTCCATCCCCACACCAGCTCCTGGGTTCTGCCATGTCCCTGGTCTGCCCTCAGCATCCCATTTCATGTGGTCACAGCATGCAGCTCTGTGTGCAGTGGAGGATCCATGCCTGACCTGAGAGCCAAGCTTTATCTCCCATGGGATGCTCACGCGGTGGGGCTGTGGGCTGAGGCTGCTTTCTGCATCCCAGGATTTTGCCCCCAAGGCCAAATAGGCTTTGCTAGGAGTCACTTCACACTTCTGTGCCTCAGTTCCCCAACCCCCCCATAAAGCTATAAGTATTTCCCATCCTGGGGAGGTTTAAGCATTGTAGAATCTGTAGGATGTGATTTCCTCAAGGTGCACCACCAAAAAGGAACAAAATGTCTTTTCCATTAAAAAAAAAACAAAGAAAGAGGAAAAAAAAAAGAAAGAGGAAAAAAAAAAGATTCAGGCTAAAACCTTCAGGATCTTTCCTTAAACATTTACAAAGTTCAGCAGTTTGAAGCAAATCCTTTCCATTTCTCTTTCTCCCTCAGAGATTTCCTACTTGCATGTCTACCATGCAGCCCAGCCCAGAAATGCTCCCAGTACCATGGTGGAGCAGCTCCCAGCATCACCCAGTGACCACCACTGGGGCAGTTCCTTCATGTGGGGCAGGCAAAGTTCACCCATCACCAGCAGAATCTGCCCTTCATCCCAAGTGTGGGTGAGGGAAAAAACACCCTGGAGTTACACAATGGGAAAACTGGCCGACCCCATCCTTATTCCCATATGGGCAGATGTGTAAAAATGGTGCAAACCCCAAGGAAATTGCTGAGAAAGCACTGCTTATGGCACAGCCAGAGCCCATCCCAGGCCCCTGCCCAGTGACAGAGGGTGACATCCTGCAGGAATGGACTCCCTGTGGGTTGCTCTGTGTTCCGTTGGGCACTTGGGTTGGCACTAGCTCAGAGCTGCTGGCAATACAGAGAAGGGAGGACCCCCCCAAGAAGTGTGTTTTCATTGTACATACAAAAGGTGTTCCAACAAGCGATGTGCTCTATGTTCCCTTGGGTTGTTTTTTTTTTTTTTGTTAAAGCTGTCATTTCTGGTGGAGAAGAAGCTGCAAACTGAAAAGAGCAAAGAGAGAAACCCAAACGTGTTTGCATTTGCCTCGCTGCTTTTCTTTTCTCTCGGTGGTTTGCTCTGACTTTGCTTTCCGTACGGAGAGGTGTGTGTGCGTTCTCAGCCTTCTTTGATTAAAATGACTTTGATTCCTCTCTCAAGGACTTCAGGGGCATCTTTATGGTTTGGAGAAAGCACCCCCAGCACGGCCCTTCCTTACTTCCCATCTGGGGGCTTCATGTGTCCCCACGTCCATCCTATAGGGGCAGAGGAGGGATACAGCTTTCCACGAGGATGCTGCACCATCCCATTAAAGAAGGGGAGGACCCCCACTATGGGTCTCCCACACTAATACCACCATGCCTAGAAAAACCAAACACCTCTCCAAATTTTTCACGCAGCATCCTACGCTGCCTCTCACAGCTGAGCTGAGAGTAAAGGTAACGTGCAATTAAACCCCAAGTTCATTTCATACATCAGTGTTTACTAGTGAAATTCAGACACAAACGCCTCTTTCTGGTCAAGCTCTTCTGCTGCAGAATTAATTTGCTCATCTCACTGAGCCTTGGAAAGCGCTGTAATTTGGTAAGCACCATGCACATAAATAATAATTACACGTTCCCGTTGATTACATGATTGTATTTGAAGTTATCAAGTAATTCCAAGATGAATGACCTGCCAATCGCTGTCTCCTGTGCTCTTGACAAGGTTGCAGCCTCTACAGATAAGCTTGCATTAACCCTTGGTGTTAGCCTGGGAGAAATTGGGCAAACTGAGGCACAGATTGCACTGTGTCACAAAACCAGATGCTGGGCTCTGCTGAGTGCCATCCTGCAGGAAGCTCTGCTGCATTGCTGCTGCATCCAGCCCTGCTTCAGGAGCAGGCAAAGAGACATCAGTGTGACGGGGGTTGGTGCCCCACAGCATCCTTCCACCTGGTGGAAGCAGTGAGAGGTGCCCATCCAGACCCAACCAATGATTCCCCAAACCCAATCCCTTTCTGCCCCAACAGGTGCATCTTTTTCCAGCCATTTGCTGATACAACAAGGGGAAGACCCTAATTTATGTGTGCCAGGGAAAGGGTCTCAGCACCATGCCCATGGGGATTACTGCCCACATGGGTTCCCCGAAGCAGTGACAGGGGACAACTGCTCAAGACCCAGAGGTCTCCTTCTCCCCTGTTACCTGGCTGCTTTGCTTGCTGCCATGCAGCACTTCTTATAGCAGCACAGGGGTGGGACTAGACGGTCCCATTGAGTTCCTCTAGAGATGCATTTGTAGCATTCACAATCACAGAAGTGTTGGCATAGCAAAAGCAGGAGAGCTGGATGAGCACAGGTGAGAAAACCTCACTATGAGAGCACGTGTGAATGAAATGCACTACAAGGACAATGCTAAGAGCTTGGTACAAGCCAGGAAAAAGCAGTGTGACTTTGTCTACCAGATAGAAAGGAAAATAAGTTGAGATATACAGGACAAATGCTGTGTGATAAGCTGGAATGATGATGTCCAGGCTGAAGTTTGACCAGTAACGCAACACTAAGCCAAAGGCACGGTAATAGAAATGCTTATGAGTCTGATGAAGATGGTCTGAGTGGCTAATGGGAGCTACATTTTAATGCATTAATAAGGTTAAAGAAGTGCTCAGAGACCACAGGCAGGCTCAGCAGATAAGAAATGACCCTTCTTTGCTCCAGGTGGCTGTGTGTTCTGCAGGGCTGTGTGTGCAGGGATGCTTCTGGCCTCCTCCTCTGTGCAAGGCAATGTTAAGGGAAACTCATTCCATCCCCAGAGACAAAGCCTGCCAAGCCAACACTGAGCAGAGCCTGTGACAGTGACAGCAAGACGAAGTGGGCCAGCACCACGTCAGGGACCTGCTCCTTTCACAGCAGGGTTTCAGCATCTGATTTCTGTGCTTTTCTATTTCTTTTTTTTTAATCCAACACGTTTTATGATAGCATGGAGCAAAGCGTGGCTCCATCCACAAAGATTTTCTGTTGTCAGAGCTGCATCTTGGCTGTGTTGTGCCAAAATTGCATGGAGGGATTTCAAGACCCCAGAGCATCACAGCGTCCCAGCTGTGGCACCAGCATCCCAGCCTGGCAAAACAACACAGGAGTCAAGCACTGCAGACTTACTGGAGAGGATGAAGTGCAGACAATGCTGTGGCAATTGAGGGAAATCTATGCAGAACGAGCAGCAATTAAATGAGGATCAACTTGGTTGCAAGAGGAGAAAATTGCTTCTTTCAAACCCTCTTGATTATAGAGCTGCATCAGCCCAGATCTCCCATGGCTTACCGCTGCTGTGAGCAGATGAAGGGGCTGTTAATCAGGATTGTCAGAAGCTTTCTCCGAGCCAAACACTCTCACTGGGGCCAGTCTCAGTGTGACCCCTCACTCTGCTCCACTGTTAACCACTGACACCATCTGAAGGTGAGCGATTTGTCTGTGCACCCAAAGGGCAGTGGGACACGTGGCAAGCGTGTCTATCTCCACCAGGGTGGAATCCAGCAAAGCCTCCATCCCTCCCCATCCCCACAGCCCTTCTCCATCCCTGACATCCCGAAAGGCCAACTGTGTCTGTGCCGTGGTGCTTGTCAGACCTTCTTGTCTGAGAGCTGCCAGGAGGGGCCGGGTGCCAGGAATGGCTCGGGGAGGATGGAGGTGTTATTTCTTCTCCCCATCACTCCTCACTCCTCAGAATGGAGACAGATGGACCAGCGCCTCTGACGTCTGCATAGCCCCAGGGAGGGCAGGAGCAAACTGCAGTGATTTCAGGACAGGTCCTGCATCCTGCCAAGGTCAGATCTGACCTCCTAAAATGACAAGCCCCTCCCTCTCCCCAAGTCCCACAGCACTGGGAAGGGGGTGGGCTTCATCTCATCAGCTCTTCTAAGCATTTCCAGGGATTTTAAGGTAGAGGAACAATGGAAAATTGTTTCACTCTGCAGCTGAAGCAAAGATCCTGATGGGTCCCTTCTAACTTGGGGTACTCTGTGATTCTATGATTCTATAAAGTGGGTGCACAGCCAGGCTCACACAGTGCAAGAATCTGCACCAATAAAAACTGTCATTGGCTTAGGGAACTGACCACCCCCATCTCTCCTCACCATCCTTGCAGAAACCACACAGTAGATGCCATGCCACGCACAGCAGCTGAGCTGCAGCTACCTTCTGAGCCAATTACATACTTAAGCTAATGCCACAGCGTTAATTGCATTAATAGGAGGCTAATTGCACACCTAACGGATATAAATGGGAGCTAATTACCTGACACAACACTGGGCTCAGCACACAGCTGTCTGTCTTAGCAATGCTTGGGGAGCACCTTGCTGGCAGCCCTGCAGCAAATCACTGCACGGCACTGAGGGACAGAGATTCCCCCATCAAGAATCACTCCCTGAGTCTTCCTGGGATAAGCTAACCCATGGCATTAGCTAGGAGATGTGTTTAGCTGTCATCACACACCTGGAAACACCAACACGGGGACATTTCTGACCATGTGTTCAAGACACATAATGAAGGGTGCTGCTTGCATTCAGCAGCAGAAGCACCCTCAGAATGTCCAAAGGTAGTGATATCACACCTGGTATGCCCCATGAAAGGACAGGAAATAGGTTATTCCCGCCTGGAAGGAGCACCAAATAATTGGGGAAGGCACTAACTCTGCTCAGGGGATGCTCAAGAGCCAAAGGACCATCCCAACCCCAAGTTTTGCTCTGCATTCCCCTTCCTGACATTTGGCCCCACACTTCACAGCACCTTGCTAATACCCATCCCTCAGTTCCTCCAGCTCCAGTGCATGAAAATTGAGCTGGAAATGTCACACGGCCCCAACAACACATCCTCTTCCCAGCAGCATCACAGCCCAGTGCTAAGCAGGCAGCAAGCAAGGCAGTCACGCAGGTTCCTTCCCAAGGGCTCTGTGCCCTCTCACTGGAAGGTAATTAGTGCCTCTCGACTTGATGATGTTGACAAAGCAGCAGCAGTAGGGGTGGGAAATAGGAGGGCTGGGTGATGGGATGCCAGGTGTCAAATCTAGCCTTGAGAAAACGAGCTGTCCTTTTAGGATTGAAGTAAGTTGGAGCATGCTCAGCCTCCTGCAGCACCCTGCAATTGAAAGGCAGGTTGGTCAGGAAATGCTTTTTGCATGGTTAGACACAGCTTAGTCAACAGAAACAACACATATACCCTTAACTCTGCCCGTTTGGTGCCATGCTGGAAGTAAAGTGTTTAAGAACGTGAAGTATGCATGGAATGGAGAGAAAAAAATCATGCAAATCCCAGTGATAAGCACAATTTGGGTTCTTAGAACACACCAATAAATAAACAAACAAATAAATAAGAAGAATTTAAAAAAGGATTTGGAAGCAGATTTCTATTTAAACTGGGAGGGATCATGCACATCTGAAATAGCTCAGTAAAATATTTCAGTCTCAAAGGAGAAGAAAATCACTCTGGATTTGAGGAGAGTTCGACAAATTCCACCAGCAGCCCCACGCACCCCACTCCACACCAGCACTGCTCATAACTCAACGTTCTCTCCTCTGCTTTCCTATTTCCACCCCCAAGCAGCCGTTTTCCAGCAGGTACACCCTGAGCAGAGCAACCGTGGTTCCCTCTCAGCCAAACATCATTCATTTTTCCTCTGGATCACAACCTTTGCAGCCGTGCCATGCTCACACCTCTCCAAAGAAGGGGCTGCATTTCATTACCCAGGGCAGGGCATGCTGCTTGCAAAGGAAAATCAATAGCTGTCATCCTTATTTATGTACAAGCTTTTATTAATGGGAATTTTGGAGCTGGGCTGATGTTCTCCAGTCTGTCCCTAATACTCATAGCTCCGTGTGCTCTTCCCCCCTCCAGTCAATAGCCATTCCTGTTTCCAAAGAGATGCACTTTAAAAACCTCTGCAATGCTCACTTCACCCAGAGGAGTGGGTTTTTTTTTTTTCCCAGCAGCTCAATAATATTCATGTACAATATAAATGCACACAATATCCTTTGATGCCCTGACCAGGCTTTCTCTCTTTTTTCCACTATTTCCTCCCTACAGCAAAGGCTCATGAAATCCTCAGTCCAAAATGTTGTTGTTCTTTGTTTGCTTTTTTTTTTTTTTTTCTTGAGAAGCATTTGGGGATTTATGGC